TTGTACCTTGGTGTCATCAAGTGTTTCAGCCTATTAATCACAATAACGTTGAGAGAGGTAAAAAGGTAAATCTGACAGGCTACTGGCTTTATGGCAGAGCTATGAAAGCCATGTGGCCTACTCAGTAGATCACACGTCATTACCTCTGTCCTGTGAGAAGGATCCCTCAAGGATCCCTCAAGGATCCCTCAAGGATCCCTCTCTCTGAGGTTTCTACATTCTCTTTTTTTAAAAGGTTTTTTTTGGTAGTCTTGTTGAGGGTTAAGGGTAGAGGATGTCATAACTTGTTAAAGCCCCTATGAGACAAATTGTGATTTGTGAATATGGGCTATACAAATAAAATGTGATCGATAAACAAAATTAACCCTACTGCAGTATTAGATTGAATTAACAATTTAATCTTCAAAATTTCCCCTATTGTCACATCTACAAAAGATAAACCAACCCGCACTTCCCTAGCAGTCAACCCCATGCCTTGAGGCTCTTAACACAATGTACTGTAGAGAGTATGGCCATTCCTGAGGGGTGCATATTTATGATGGGGTATTAGCCTATACCAATATAAGTGATTTAATGTACCTCACCTGACTCGTATTAAAGCGTGCACTGAGCGTTGAGCCTGGGTATAATATTTTCTGAATGGCTGCAGGACTGAATCAACATCATCATCTAGGAATCAAATAAGACAAAAATAATTAACAATAACCATACACATGTGACTTAATCATGCTGTTAGTAAAATATTACCTCCAAATAAAATGGTATCCATTCTCTGTTTGTTCTTTAATTGTGTCTCACTTTCCTCCTTCACTCGTCCCTCCTGCTTTCTTCTCCTCTCCTCCTCCTGCTCTCCTTCCAGCATCACCATCAGAGCTTTTTCCTCTGCTGAGTAAACCACTGTCCGTCTTTTCATCACACTCTTCAGCCACTCCAGTCGACTGCTGAATGCCTTATCACATTCTTGCTCTGAGATGATACCTTAAACACACAGACACAGTTTTCAGGCTGCTCCACCAGAGGGATTTCTCTGTTTTTCTGTGGTATTAGAAGACTGCCTTTTGAGACACACACTCACCTCACACTCTTCACCTTAATCATATGCAATTTAACAGGCTGGTCTCATAACCAAATTAACACAGTCACTTTTATGTAAAAGCCATGTCAGCTATTTTGATGGTCTGACCGGTATCGTGTGAAGTGACTGAAGTCAGTTTAATGTAGAGATTAAATGTAAAATTATTATCTCATGTGCACTGATAAATAAAACAGGTGCATAACCATGAGACAGTGTGAAAGAACAAACTCCTTAAGTAATAATCTGATTACCAGTCTGCCTGTGTATTTTAAATTTTCCTTCACATGGACTGTGTGATTACTATGCAATGGTATCCAACAAAACCTCTTGACGTACAGCATGTTAGCAAATAGGAATTGAGTTGAATGTGAGTTACAATCTAATGTCCGTTCATCACTGTGGTAAGATTTTAGATAACTCAAGTAATGCAGTCTGAGAGGACACAAAACACTTTTTTCCCTCCAAAGTGTAACACTTTGACTCCGTCACAATAGACTGATGAAGGGACTGGAGGGGCTGAAGAAAGGATCGATGTTCCTCTTACCTTTCCTGGTTGCTGCCTCTTTCCTCAGCCTGCGCAGTTTCTCCAGAGATCTCAGAATGTTCTGCATCCTCTTCACATCTGCCTGTTTTTTCCTCACCTCACAGAGGACCAGGTCTGCAGTCAGCTTCAGCTCCTGCTCCTGATACACAAACACAGAGACCAAAGAGAGTTGTTAAAAACAACTAAATTTTTCCACTGATCAGCAGGTGGCGCTATGACGCTGACTTTATATTGACACAAGGAGCTGTTCAGGCTGGGACTGTGATCACTGGTTTACATTTTGGTACCGACTGGACAATGCACAGTGGAGTTATGATAACTCCGTCTCCTATGACGATGGATTAACTTTCGCTGCACCTCAATGTTTACACGGTTTGAGGGAATGTCATAATTCTGACCATGTTGTGAGAGCATGTCTGAGCTTTTTTGAGCTGTATATTGTAAAGCAGCGAGCAGCTGTGAATAAATGTATAAAAACCTGTCACTTCCTGTCGCCAGCAGGTGGTGCTGTGACAATGCGTCGATATTGACAAATGGATCTTTTCAGGCTGGGACTGTGATCATTGCTTTAAATTTAGACACTCCCATGTCTATTCATAATAGACAGGCAGGCAGTCCCAAAACAATTATTTTCATTGGTCATATTGCCATAGGCAATTATTCCTGCCTTGAGTTAATAAAAATGTCCTTTACCTTTTTGTAAAATGTGTAGGTGTTATGATTAGTAAACGTGATATAAACGATAAAAAAATGGCCTATGATAGAGATTTGAATTATATGCTCTATCGCGATAACACATGTTGATGACGCAATCTACCCCCGACACGCGAAATTTGGAGCCGCCGGTTGCTGCAACGCACGCATCCTAGGTTGTTTTAAATGCATCAGTACCCCGGTACTAAATTGGTACCGGGGTACTACCGGGGTGCATCAGTACCCCGGTACCAATTTAGTACCGGGGTACTGATGCATTTAAAATGGTACTATACAGCACTTGGATAACCGGTACTTTTTTCTTTTTTTTTTTACGTCTCCGCATTGTAATTTGAGCTGAAGTGAGCAAGCCAGGGCGAGCAGGCGAGCGAGTGAGAGAGAAAGAGAGAGAGAGACAGGGGCAGAGAGAGAATGGCAGCTGCTGCAACCATCACCACGCAGCAACACGTAGATAAACCACGTGCACGAAGTGCTACATGGAATTACTTCGGCTTGAAAACAAATGAGCACGGTGAAGCCATTAACACCGATGCACCACTGTGCAAACGGTGTTACAAACATGTGTGGCCAAGGGTGGAAGCACTTCCAACTTGACAAAACACTTGAAGGAAAAGCACCCAGACCTGCACAAGGAGTTCAGAGAACAACAGGTTATAACTTATATACCCATGAAAAAAAGCCACATTCAGTGCTAAAAGCAAGCAATGCCAGCCCCCTCCACTGTCCACAAAAGTAGTGCTGGAATAAATTTAAGCCTGTCTTTGTGGTATTTTATTTTAATTACTGATGCATAATATTATAGTTCTAAGATTTTCTATTAAAATAAAGTCAATAATGACATTTTTTGTGTTCTCTTTTTATTTGGAAAAGTACAGAAAAGTATCAAAATACATGATAGTACTGGTACCAAAATGTTGTCACCGTGACAACACTAACGCATCCTATCCTCTGGTAAACAACATGGCTGAAGGCGAAACGGAGCGGGTAGAACAGATTAAAAAGACTGGTGCAACGTCCATTATTTAGAATTGGTTCAGATTCAAACCGTCCGACGTACAGCAGAAATACATTATCTGTAGAGTGTGTGGGGGAACAGTTCTAGTTAAGACCGGCAACACGACAAATCTCTTTTACCACCTAAAAAGTAAACATGCTATCGAATATGAAGAGTGCCAGCAAATGCAGACAACCCCAAGCTCCAGTCGCAAGAATGTGGGACAGAAACAACAGGAACTGATCCAGTCCTCCATCCAACAGTCATTTTTAAAAGGTACTCCTTACAATCCGAAGAGCCCGCGATGGAACGAAGCTTACTGTATGATTACAGTGGGGGCACAATAAATGTTGTATGTCTACATACTGTGTTCTATGTATCGCCCATCCCTAGTTATGTTGTGTGGAAATAGGCCTACCTCAGCTCAAAATGGTCACAGAAAGAACACAAAAGATGATCAAGTGGCTGTGAGAACAAACAAGGCCATCATACAGGTCAACCAGACACATGGTACTAAAGTCGCAAGAATGGAAAAGAAGAATGGAAGATGCCCTTCATTTTGCTTCCACTAATAAATGCTGCTGCCTGTAAGCTGCAATCATCGATAAAACGTTGTTCAGTATTTACTTATCTATACCGTCATAAATATTGTTATCGCAAATTTTCCTTGAAATATCGTGATTTTGAACGGCTGGGAGAAAAATGCAGCTAATCTACCAAGGTCATACTGATGCCTCTTAGTGTTTTCAGACAATGTTTCATGTCTCTTACTCCTGTAAGAGTCCATGTTGTCTCTATCCCTGCCATATGCAAAGGAAAGAAAATACAGCATTTACATGACTGCGTCAAGCAAGCCAAGCCTTTCTGGTGTCTCAGGACGACAAATGAGTTGCCCTTCAGGCATCATATTCGAGAATGCTGATTAGTTTGATCTATGTTGCTGTGTTTACATTTCTGTCAGCAATTGGCTGCGCTGCTGCAATTTATCTATTCAATTAAATTTTATTTGTATAGTGCCAAATCATAATATACATTATCTCAAGGCACTTTACATAGAAGGTCAGGACCTTAAAATCAAACAAGGGCTGCAAGCAGCACTGAGCGGGCCAGAGTACTTGCAACTCGGAACCAGACACAACTCGGAACCTGACACAACTCCACCCCCACACGATACCCTTTACATACGTATGAGGTCATCAGCGTGGACATGTGTGCGAAGTTTCATGACCTGGCAAATTATTTTATCTGTCCTAAGAACTAGTTCTGATAGAAATTCAGAGAATTCAGATAGAAATTCTTAGTAAGGGGCAGGTGGACAATATATGATAACTAGATTAATTGGTTTATGTGATTTCAGGCTTGGATGAGGCTGATTATAAGATTTTCAAAGTAGTTATAATTTTTCTTTCGGTCGAGGGTTGGTAGATAGGTTAGATTTAGAGATTGCTGCAACCCCTCCACCTCTGCCTGTGCTTCGAGGAGTATGAGTATTAATATAGCTTGGGGGCGTCACTTCATTTAAGCCTACATATTCTCCATCTTGCAGCCAGGTTTCTAGATCGATTTGGTGATCGGTAACCAGGTCATTAATAATTAATAGTGATTTTTGATTGAGTGACCTGATACATAATAAACCGCATTTTATAATTCTGTGTTTTTTTACCGGTATATTGGCTGTGTTAACTTTTATTAGGTTTGAATATATTACTCCTGTCCTGTTTGCTTTTGATTGAGTGAGTTTAGGTGGTCGGGGGGGCAGACACAGTTTCTATAGGATATTGTGCGGATGAGTGTTCAAATAGAAGCACAGAGAAGCTTGTAAGACTGCGACTCTGCCTCCTGGTCTCAACTCTGGATTGTCATGGTGTGGAATGTCTAACAAGCGTTGTCATGTTAATTGATATGAGAGCTGCCCCATCCCAAGTGGGATGAATACAATCTCTCCTAATCAGACCAGGTTTCCCCCAAAAAGTTTGCCAATTATCTACAAAGCCCACGTTGTTATTTGGACACCACCTCGACAGCCAGCGGTGAAAGGATGATGTGCGGCTGTCCGACATTGTCTTTGCATATGTACACACTAGGGATGGGCATGATTAATCAACAAATCGATAACTGATCGTTAAGAATTTCATCCATCACGTTATTTTTTAAACGATAAAATGCTCGAATAATGCGCGGAGGTACCTATGCACACCGGCAACGTCAGTCCCCTCAGAGCGGGTGTTTTCGGCAGCTGGACTGACGGTCACCTGGCTGCGGTCGCGTCTGACCCCAGAGCATGTTAACATGCTTATCTTTATCAACAAAAATCAGTAGACTGCTGATGAAGTTGTATGTGAGTTAGGCCTACTAGTTATTTTTATGAGGCTTTGTGAAGTAGCCTAATTGATCTCTCTCACCCTCTTTTTAGACTCGGTGCCTTTTGGATAGTTTTTGAGTTACAATTTGACAAAACCTGTCAGACCTAAGTATTATTATGTTTTTGGTTAAGTTATTGTTTAACACGATTTTTTAAATTATTATTATTTTGGAACAAACAAGGGTCAATTTGGTTTAAGAGCGCCGGCTCGCAGCTGCAGGCTCCTCAGCTTTAGAGCGCCCCAGCACACATCAAGTCTTACCATTGAACGTCAGTTTAACCGCCACAAGAGTTGTTCTTCTTGTAATAAAGATCTCATCCAGGAAAAGCCCGCTGTATTTTGTATTTTCATTGCATTTTTAACTTATTTTAAATAATAATTAATTTTTAAGTTTAATGATTAATCGATAATTGATTGTTAATTCTCCCGACGTTCGATTAAGAAAATTAAATCGAATGCCCACCCCTAGTACACACCGAATCAATATTGATTTTTGTGTCATTACTGCCGACATGAATAATAATCTTACTCTACTTACGCTTACCCTTAGCCAGCAATTTTAAATAGGACTCTATGTCGCCCGCTCTGGACCCAGGAAAACATTTAACTGTGATCGCTGGTGTGGCTAACTTCACGTTTCTCAAAATAGAGTCGCCAATAACCAGAGTTTGTTCCTCGGCGGGTGTTTCGCTGGGTGGGGAAAATTTATTAGAGACGTGGGAGCTGCTGGGGGGGCTGGAGAGTGAGAGGGAGAAGCCATTGTTAGCTGCTAATGCTAAATTGCTAAGCTAACATGGGTAGTATGTAAATCACAGTGATTTAGCAAACAAGTCGCTAAGAGAGGGAGAGGTGAGTGTAAAGTATTGTACAACTGTGAATGTGACTCAAAGTTAGCTTCAGTGAGTCAGAGAGTAGCAGAATAGGGAGAGATGAAAAAGAGAAGAATTCAATACACGGACAACGGAAGTGACACAATATGCTCACCGCAATACGTCAGCACCATGTCAGCACGTCGTCAGCCTCATCGTCCAACAGTAAGCTAATTTTTCCACCAAAAATAATTATTTTATGTATTAAAAATGTTTACCTATTATAAACTTCCTTTTACTTTACCGGAAAGGAGTTTTACCCTTTCATTTGTATTAAAGCCTCCAAACATAGAAACCATCTATTCAGAGAAGAGCTGTTGTGTGTTTTGGTGATGTGTAGCTGTTTTGGCTGATATTTGGTTGATGTTCACACTTGGTTCTTATGGGTTTGTGTATTTGTTGGTTGGTTTGTGTTGTCTTCATTTGAGTTAACTTGTGCAGCCACCGGGACTATGGGATGTGCTGCCTGTGATGGGGGTCCAGTCACTGTTCATGTGAAAAGTCTTCTACTCTATGTAAATAAACCATTCACCTTGCTGTCTTGCAGGGTATGGAATGCAAGTGAAGAGTTGGAAGAAAGTTCTCTGGGGATGCCTCTTCATTCTCACATGAGCTTGCCACAATATTATCATACTGTGTACAATTATAAATACATTTGCAATGATATGAGGAGGTGAATTCGCCCTGGACTTCACAAGATGATTTACCTACCTTTGCTCACAAGCTTGCCGTAGTTTTGAGGTGATCACATCTTTGAATGTTATGTTGACACGTTATCTTACCTTCATCTTTTCCTGTACTTGATTCACCTGCTTCATCCTCCATATATCTATAGCAGCCTCTTTCTCAGAAATGTCTTCCCGTCGGTCTCTCTCTTCCTGCTGCATCAGGTTACTAGCCCTCAGGCTTCGGGCTCTCCTCTGAGCAACACGACACAGTTTAGCTTTAAATTTGTTTAAACAGTCTCCTTCACTGAGGAGTTTCACTTTGTCCAGGAACATTGTTTTCATTTGGAAAACAGTCAATTGTGAGTCTGTCCACACACAGCCATTCTCCACGTTATCTTTCAAAGAATGATGCGACTCTTCAATCGCTGAGACTAGCTCCACTGCTCCGTACAAAGTCTCTCTCAGGCCATGGACACAGCGGTTAAAGTGGTGGGACCGATGCTGCTGCCGGATCTTTGTGATCTTCGACAGTTTAGCCCTGCTCTGACAGAACCGCCTAAGCCACTGTGTATCCTGCTTCCTCTGAAGGGTGTTTTTCATTCTTAAGACCATGACTCGCCCCCGGTCACTGTGATCTCCATATTCCTGCTGCCGATTATCATCGGTGACGAACACTGACTGGAAACCATCATATGGGGCAGGAGGGCCAACTCTAAGCTGCGGGAGGCTGCTAAACGCGTTTAACGGGGCGGAAGGTACCATGTTCACTAAGTGTCTCGGTGGAGGGCAGCTGAAGGAAGGCGGAGGGACGGAGGGGTCAAATGCATATGGAAGGTCCAAACGATACACTCCCAAACCATCTACTCTGGTAGACGGTAGATACAAAGTGCGACTGAAAAATCCCGGTGGAGTCCATAGAGGAGCGGCTTGGTCCGGCTGTATTGGTCCCAGCGAAGGAGAACACTGAGTCGGTTCAGGAGCCACTGACGGGTGCCTGTTGTCGACGTATGGGTTCTGCAGAAAGCCGCCAGTATAGACAGGATGCTCCTGCTTTTCTGACAGAGCCCGGTGCAGACATCGGTTGTCCATGTCTGAGAGTTTCTAGGCAACACTTGCTTTGCACTATATACAATCTACGATCACCACTCGTTAGCCTACTTCTTCAGCAGGGTAGCAATAACGATCAGCTTTCTTCTTCACTTCAACTTCTACCTTTGTAGTGCACTACATCGCCGACCACCTATAGTGACCAAAGGTGGTACTGCAGCCAATGTCTTGTCATGTCTCGTTTCATCAATATAAAAACTCACGTAGAAGAACAGTAAAAAATGCAGCTAACCTGTACTGGCATCAAATAAATATTAATTAATTCTGTATAAATATATCGTATGTCTACAGTATGCAGAATAAGAATTTCGACAAAATGAATGAATTTAACCGCATAAGAGTTTCTTTTACATCTTCCCCAACCCAATTTACAAAATCTGACCAAATGTCTGAAGTGGAATAGTGTAAATGGTCTCCCAATATATAGCATTTTTCTAATCTTGATGACCACTCAAATCACTTTACAGTATAGTTTCCCATACACCCATTCACACACACATTCATACACTGCAGCACTTTCTCTATATCAAACATCAACAGTGGAACTGTCCCGGTCCTCCCAATGTGCTGATACAGCAAGCAGGAATGAGTAGATAGATTTCAAGAGCAGGTCATGTCTGAAAATGGCTATACCTTTTGGCTACTTAAAGTGATAGCGGAAAATTCACTAATTATCAACTCAACACAATGCCGAGGGAGGGGTGGGTCAAGTGTTTGAGTCCAAAAAACACTTTAGGAGTTGCAGGGGTAAACAGCATTGCAGCCTGTTAGCTGGCCCGAGTGGTGGAGGCATATACAAAAATACAAATACAGGTACAGTTCAGATCGCTTGAAGTGATTTATTTCCCGCTGGTCCACAGGTGATACAGCAGTCCTGCACATCCTCAGACTGGCTGCCCTATATACAGATGGCTGTCTATTAATTCAGCCAGCACATACCATCTCTAAGATCCCCACAAATGACCCCTGTAGTGACAGGATGTTACGAGGAAACCCGAAAGGAGCCTAGATTTTCGAAATAACCCCACCCCCCCAAGATAGTTACAGGATGTTACCATCTTACGCAATATTAAGAAAATTAAGAAGGATGCTGAGAAACTAGTCCACACATTTGTTACCTCTAGACTAGATTACTGTAATTCTTTATTATCAGGATGCCGCAGGAAGTCTGTAAAAAGCCTCCAGTTGGTCTAAAATGCTTCAGCACGAGTGCTGACAGGAACTAGAAGGAGAGATCATATTACTCCTGTCTTAGCTTCTCTACATTGGCTCCCTGTAAAATTCAGATCAAGATCCTGCTCCTCACATATAAAGCCATTAACAATCAAGCCCCTTCATATATCAAAGAGCTGATAACACCGTACTATCCGAATAGATCACTTTGTTGCCAAAAAACAGGCTCTCTTGTGGTTCCTAGAGTCTGTAATAGTAGAACAGGAGGTAGAGCATTCAGCTACCAGGCTCCTCTCCTGTGGAACCAGCTCCCACTCTGGGTTCTAGAGTCTGTAAGAGGAGAACAGGAGGTAGAACCTTCAGCTACCAGGCTCCTCTCCTGTGGAACCAGCTCCCACTCTGGGTTCAGGAGCCAGACACCATCGCTGCAATTAAAGTTAAAAACTATCCTTTCTGATAAAGCCTATAGTTATATCTGGATCAGGTGAGTCCTGAACCATCCCTTATTTATGCTGCTGTAGGTCAGACTGCTGTGGGAACTCCCATCATCCACTGAGTACTTCTCCACTTCTCTCTGTCTCTCTGCCCCCC